CTCAACGCATAATATCTTCAATTTTTTTTATTGTGTTATTGAATTGAACAGGCTTAAGTACCGATAAATATAAAAACAAAAATGATTAAATTATTATGAGAATTGGTCATAATTACTTTTAATGTTTTACTCACTAATAATGCTTATCACATCGGGCGATTTGTTATTGAAAAATAAACGAAATGTTTACATATAATATGTTTACATATTAACAAAAAAAAAAAAAATAAAATAAAAAATGAAAAAATAGTAACATATAATAATAATGGATCACCAAAATATTCATTATGGCTTCTGCAAATTGATTTGGTTTTCTAGAAAATACTTTTATTCTTACAATAGAAATGATAAGTGATTTGTTCTTAGTCATCATCATTTCAACTATGAGCTAGAACTCAGGTTTTGAGTTGTGGAATTCAATATAATATTGTCTTCTAGTGAAGAGCACTTATATGTTTATTGATAGAATTAGTAAAACGTGTTAGTGAAAATTTTTTATATCTAGCTAAAGTTTTCTAGTTTCTTTTGTCAGAAGTACTAATGTCGCTATTAATACCAGTTCGTTATATACGATATTCTTCTGATTCTCAGACTGAAACTACTCAATTACACTTCATTCCTTTATGAATGAAATCAATATTTCTGATTTTCTAAGTCTTCTAGTCTCTTTCTAAAGCCTGTGCTTCTATCGATATCAGTTCCTCGTGTATAACATTCATTCTCTGACTGAAACTACTCAATTCCATTTTATTCCTTTATGAATACAATCTATATTTATGATTTTTTAGGTTTTCTAGTCTCTTTTGTCAGAATTGCTAATGTCTCTATTGATACTAGTTCGTTGTTCAATTACATTTTATCTTTTTTTTAATACAATATACCAATATACCATTTTATTAATCCTTTTTTATGTCTAGCTAAGATCTTCCAGTTCCTTTACTGAAAGATACAGTCAACAATAAGTTTAGTTGGTTATTCTCTGTGCATGAAACTATTTTATTTGGTTGAAACTTTTCAGTTACACCCCTTACCTTTATTTATACAATCAATAAAATGTGTTTTTAATCATTCCCCTATCTTCAGGAATGCCTTATCCATTTTTTTTATCAGAAGTATTACTGTCTTCATCAATACAAATCAATAAAACGTATTTATCTCCGTTACCTGTGTATGATAATTCTCCCCAACTCTGACTGAAATTTCTCAGTTACACACCATTACTATATCAACACAATTAAAATACATATATCATTTTATTGATAATCTATCTATATCTGTATTTCTATCTAAGACTTCCCACTGTCTTTTCTCAGTAGTACTAAGGTCTTTATCGATGCAATTAGCAATACGATTATTTGATTGTTCTTTGTTACTCGTCTGGATTTCTGACAATACCTTTATGAACAGTATCAATATAACGTGTTTTTTGATCATTCTTTATCTTTACTTTTGATTTTTTTATTATGTTATGGATTTCTCGCTCTTACCCATGCTTTCTATCTAGCTATACATGTATTTAGAATTACGTATGTCTTCCTTTCTATACTAGAGTCTTTGATTCCATTTCCCATCTCTGACTGAAACCTTTTACTTTTTCTGTCAAGAGTGCTTATGTCTGTCGATGCAGTCAATAACAATTGTTTTGGCTACTGGTTATGCATTAGACTTTACTTCTATTCTAAAGTAGAATCACGTATAATCTTACAACGTGTACTATCATTCCCTGTCTCTGAAATATAGCAATCTCTTAAAAAGTTATCTACTTTTGTCAGTAGTAATATTTCTAGATCAGTGTTAAGTGGTACATTAAACTTTTTTTTCAAATATTCGTAGACAAATTCAAGTCCCATAAATTGCAACTAGTCTTATCATCGTTTTGTAAACCTACAGTGCTGGATTTCTTTTAGATTTACCGCTTAAATGCGATGTTAAATATTTTGACATGTGCTGTTGTTGTTGCTAATCTGTACGCAATAAAAGTTAATTATTCCCACAAAGAGTGATCCCGATAGGATGGTATCAACAGCAGCAACCTGGTCAGTAACCACGGATCTTTTTGTCTATTGCTGCTTCGTAACATAATTGTGTATTTAATTATACAATTTTTCTTAGTCTATAATAAGATTAACAAACTTACTATAATATATTTATATAGAACGTTACTATATAAAACTATGAAACTCTTAGCAATTGTTGTTAACAACGATGTTAGTATTAGTAACTCTAAGTATATTCTAAGTATATTCTAATTAGGGTTAATAAAGCTATATCAGCAGTGTACTTAGTGTTAGTAGTTAATACTAATCATGTGAGATAAATATCTTATCTTTCGAGTAATATAATTTTTAATATAATTATTAAAACATGTTTTTATTATTAGCTATATTCATCATTTTTAACTATTAAAGGTATCTTTGAATTTATGAAAAATATTAATTATAAATAATCAGATAGTTTTTATTATCTTATTTAATTGCTAGTATAAATCTACACTTCAAATTACAATCTTTACTACTTATTGAAGAAACTGAATATATGCAACATATAAGAGGGGATTTTTTCCTATATTGGATTATTTAAATTTTCTAAGATTTATGATATCGAGTTAGTTGCGGAATATGTCAGATGTTCTGGTTCTTAATTACTCAAAATCTATCCACAAATATTTAAAAATTCGATTTATTTAATTAACACCACAGAACAACTTCATCAAAGAGCGGACGTGTTAAACAATTATTCAAAAATGTATCCAGTCTAAGCCTTGACTTTTATATGTGATTGATTAGGAAGTATTTTTAAAATACGAAAATAATATTTTTAAAATTTGTAACTAAAAATAAAATTATTTTTCTAAAAATAAATACAATAATTTTAATTTCCTGTTATACTTTTTATAAAGATTAATTAGTCGGACAAATTAAAGGTTAAAATATATAATTATTAAATGAATGATGAAAATTTGATACGAAAAGCTTATCAAAAAGCTTAAACTCAAATTTTATTATTAAAATAAATCAATAAATAAGTTCTCAGACTTATAACCCAAGTTAATTTATATTAATTAATAAACAATATAATTACACAGTATTTTAAAGAATTTTTTAATAATACAGACAAAACACATGAAGTAATTATATATTTTATTTATTGTGTTCTACGTCAATGGTAGAAACAATTAAAATTATTTACTATGTTTTGCACATGCCAGTGAGATAGTTTTAGAGTTTAAGTCGAAAGAAACTGTAGCCATTACTCCCAGTCTTCTGAGTAATCTTGTAACAAAAAATTAAAAATATATCAGAATATATTCGAGATGTTACAGAGTCTTTGCAAATCTTTTTTTAACAAAACCTCAATGATATGAGAGATTGTTATTATATATATATAGTATATCAGTCTAAAATAGAATAAATAAAAAATTTCATTATCTTTAAAAATTCTTCGACTACCTCTAAATACTGATTAGGTTTACTGGCGTAAGCGGGATTTTAGAAATTGCAAAATAATAAATAATAAAATCTTTATACTATACTTAGTTTTGTTTAAAATATATGTTTACGTTAAATTGCTCTTGTGGTCTCCAGAGAAGAACAATGAACCTCTTCTGCACTAAATGCACCACTTACTTGGTACAATAGTCTTTTCCTTTTTTGATATTAATTCAATATTCACGTGCACCGAAATATAGGTGCAATAGAATGGGTCCATCCAAAATAACCCCGTTGTTATAAAAATTTGAATATATTAAAACTTATCACTTAAAGTTTATAGCTGAGACACGATAAGTCCTATTTAAATACCAATAAAGACCAGCCATCAACTATCAACGACGCCCAATTCAATACAAGCAGTAATTCTTTGTATCTTGTGGCTACACGAATATTTTATACCGTTTGAAAAACCCAAATCAATCCAAATCAGCCCCTACAATTCAAACCGAAACATAATTATATCGCATATGAAGTCTTTTCCAATCAGTTATCCACTATGGGAAAATTGAACATTAGTAGTGGCGCACAAATACAGTTCCATGACAATATACATATATATATAGTAGAGTTCCATCTAGTATTCACTATATTCTATAACACGGTATTATATTTAGAACATTATCAATACTTCAACTTGCAGTTGACAATAGCATCAGCTATCTTTAGACGAAATATAGATGTCTTTTTGGTCAGCGACAATTTTTGGACAGTCAAAGCCCACTTTTGTGGTGACTTTTCTTACTGACCTGACCGTGCTGTTATTGTTTAAAATTAATAACGTAGTCAAATTTATAGACTTATCAGGCTGCTTCACTTTTATGTAAATAGTTGGTTGAATACGGTGGCAGGTCAGTAGAGTCTCACCGCTAAACACAATTAATACCAAGTTCCTCGCAGAAAATGACTTCCTAAATACCAGATCTAAAGACTAAATCGATTTTGTCGAATTCAGATAATTCAATACTTCTATAGCTCTTGCCAATGAACTGTCCGGCAAACTTTCAAAAAAGTACTTCCTGAAAAAACGTTTTCACCTGGTCACCAGAGCTGGGAATTTACAGTAAAAAAAAACTTAATTGTTTCTTTTTCGTGTAAACTTCTACTTCTAATGCAAAATCAAATATGTTAAGAAATGATAGAAAAAAAATGTTATATGAGTCTGGGCTTCATCACCTTCTCAACAGCATTAAAGCATAAGTAATCTTTCAATTCATGAAATCCAATAAACTGTGCGAAACTATTTTACATAGTAATTGTAATTCTAAATTTTACTCTAGTGTGGCATAGGTCAATGAGGTTAATCACAGTTTTCTATATATTATAAGAATTTTCCAATATATCATTTTTTTATTAAGATAATGACACATCAATTCCATCTAAACAATACAAAAAACTTAATAATTACACACGTTTGCTATATATGAATTTTATTCAAACACATTCTAAGTAATTTATGCAATTATCTATAGAGTAAAAAAAGTAAATTATAAACAATAAAATAATATTAAAGTGAATTGCAATAAAAAATCGAAAATGCGAAACTGTTTTACAAAAATATCAAATGTGTTTCGTAAGAAACCAAACAACAGTCAATTGGAACATAGCCACCTGAGCGAGTTTGGAGACCTACCGAACGAAAATGAGGAACTTGACGAAACATACATTAAAAGCCCACCACGTTATCGAATAGCCGATAAGCAAAATTTCGACGCCATTTACGATAAGAACGTTTTGGAGCAACAAATGATAGAAAGCAACGAAATTGATAAGAAGGATTTAAGCAATTTGAGTATAACGTCGCCAAGTCTAGGCATGGCAAACGATAATAAAAATAGCTCACAACGTAAGCAAAGTAAAACGAAACAAAAGCAAAAACAACAACAAATGCAACAAACAAAAGGAGATAGAAATGAAACGACAAGAACAACAAAAAGTTCGAAGACGTCAACAGGTGTTGAAATTGTTGATGATAAACTGATAGGTCCAAATAATATGGAACAGTCAACCGAAAACGATGAACCCAGCAATAAAAAGTTAAAAGAAAACGTCATACCGATATATGTAAGACAAATGGGAAGTTCTGATAAAAAAGCTGTTGACGACAAAAATGACGACACTGTCAAAAGTAAGAAAGGCGAAATTGACAAAACCGTCTTGAAGTCTGTTGACAAGACAATCAACACACACTTAAAAATAATGGCAACAGATGATGATGCACGCAATTATATTGAAGAATATAAAACGTTTATGGAGGATAAACATCAATCAATTAGTTCACCATATCCCATAAGAGAAACTTTTCAATTTGAGGAGGCACTCAATTTCAACACATTTAAAAGGCAATCAGTAAGAAGCATGTACAGCAACAACAATCACAACAGCAATAATAACCATAACAACAACAATGCTGATAACAAATTTTTACATACATATAACATAAATGAACCGCAGAACAATACTAGTCCCACCCCCAATCAATTAACACCAAATGAATCACCCATGCCAACAGCTAGCGCACCCAAAACACCCGAAGAGATTGAATACGAAGAGAAAGCAGCAGCAGAATACAAAGATGTGATGACACCTTTACCAAAAAATAATCTCAACTCAAAGCAATATGCTTTCGGACGTAACATACAACCTGAAGTGGCGGAGTGTATACGCAGCTTAGATGCAAATGCTCTCCGACTCAATAATTTAACGATGGAAGATAAAATGGAACTGCTGCGTCGTTATGATCATCAACAACGTCGCCATAGTCGCAGTAAAAGTTATATATTACGCGCTTATGAAAATCGTTTTCGGCAATTTGATGAATCCTCAGAATCGGGTACGGAAGAAGTAGTGCTGCGCAGGAAAGTAAAACCACAGAGTGTTAGTTTTAAAAACTCCAGTTTATATGAACGCAGACAGCCGGAATGTCCAAAATTAAAATTAGTTGTGCAATCAAATAAAAAAGATGGAAAAGAAAATTCGGTGGATGAGCTGGAGGTATGTGTTGTTAAGAATATTTCAAAGATTTTAAATTTGAACCGGTTTTCAGTGATGTTATATATGCATAATATATCTGCTAATAGCATAAGATTTAAGTTTTTATTTTTTAAAACTTATTATTATAAGACTTAAATCTATGATTTAAATTATTGAACGGTTTTTTATTAACTAATTCAAATACATTTCAATTTATATATTAAAGAGTTATATAGTATCATAAATTTTTAATAAGTCAAAATTCACATTATATCCAATAAGATTATTATGTTCTTGTAACGTTAGTTATACAAGTTATTTAAGTCCAGAGTTTGAATTTAATTGTAGTTCTTATGGTGGCATAAGTAACTCTCCCGATCTTAGAGAAGTCTGATACGAAAAGGGAAAATTCAAAATTTGCAAAAAATTGATTAGTGGAGAATACAAAATAAAGAATTAATAAATATTAAAATTATTATTATTAGTAGGCTTTATCAATGAAATCTAATGAAATAAAAAAGAATGGGTGCAGTAGGGGTGAGAAAACATTTTTTGACATTAAACGGAGTATTGCTAGCCGGTTTAATAATTTCATACACAAATTCGATATGCACTCTCTATTATTAGTATTTGCCAAAATATTTACCTATAAGTGATCATAAGCTATTGTTAGATGACAATTTAAGAAACAATAAATCGAACCCAAAATTTTAGACGTTTCCGAAAATTTAAGACGTTTAGGAACTTCAAACAAATATTATTACTTGTGCCATTTATAAATATCCTGCTGGTAAAATAAGGTCTAATAAGGTCTAATCACTAGGATGTAGATAAAGAGAAAGACAAAATCTTCTTGACCAATTATATCTCCAGCCACGATGGGGGTCAATACCTAACTAACTAAACCATAAAACAATTGGATTCTAGTTAATGTATGTTATGCGATAAAGAATTTATTTGATTTTTAGTATTACTTAGTATTATTACTTTAGTATTATTAGTAAATAAATTAAGGGCTCTTAGATGAGCAGAAGATTCTGACCATAAGAAATGTTGTGTGATATACAGTTAAGTGTCATGATTGTTTTCAATATAGACTAAAAGGCCGTATAAAGTTGTATAAGATCCAATATGATTACTCAGAAGAATCTTTACGGGTCTAACCGCGGAATATTCTTTAGTTTAATTACCCAAATTTCAACTGATTCAATTACAGAAGGATGAAACACAGTAGAATTAAATTTTATCATGAGGCTAACTAACAAATATATAATAAGTGATTGCCTCCTTCAATGTTTCACCAAAAATATATTTTCGATTTCGGCAGAAGATCTATTAATTTTCACCTTTTTTCTGATTTAAATATTTGAATTTTACATTTCTACTAAAAAGAATATACTAAAGTGAAATTATTATTTTTAACAAGATCATTAGTTAACCTAATTTAACAAAGTCGAGTAGATCAAATTATATGGAAAGATGTTTATATATCTTCGATATAATATAACTGATATCATATATAATAAATGGTAGCAAAAAATTTTTAATGTATCTATTTATTGCGATCTTGTCAATTCAGAATAGACAATAAACAATACTTAAGAGTAAGTGAGTAAATATTTAAAATTTTTGTGAGTTTGGATGGGTTGTACTCAGCAGCACATCCGTCTGTTGAAGTCGGTCACAGATTAAAATATGTGTCTATTATAAATTTTTGTGTTCCTAATAATTTTGTTTTGATATATGTATAAACATTTTTATAAGTTTTATTTTAATGACGAAATTTTATATATATATTTTTCAGCGTGCTAATTGCTCATTGTTAAATAATACACACTTTTTTAAAATTATTTGTTAAAATAAATATTTTATTAAACTCGAACTAATTTATAAAAATTGTATATTATTTAATATTGATCAATTAGCCCGTTAACACATTTTTTAAAAAATTCTAAAACTAAATTTATAATTTCTTTATGGTTAAAAATAGGTATGCTTCATTTTAAATATATTTTTAAACAATTAAAAATATTTAGGTCAATTATTATAGGAATTCCCATACATTATATACATATTTATATTAGTTTTGTTGTTAACATATTTTCTGGAGATAAGAAAACTCATCTATTAAAAATCGAAGAAATCGAAAAAGATTCCAATTAAACCAATAAAAAAAAAATTCATTGATTTTGTTTAATAAATTATTTTGAAATTTCATTTGTAATTATAAAAATTTTAAACAAAAATTTAAAAAAAATAAATATGAAAAACAAACATTTTATTATTAAAGAAAAAAAAATGAGTGACTTACCCCGTAATAGCAACGTTGAGTGAATGTTTTGCATAGAAACAATTAGTTTCTTTTTTATTGTTGTTGCGATCTTACACGTTTACCACTTATTGCGTAATATATAAATTATAATCAAATTTTATTTTCAATATATTAAAATTATTTCAATTTAATATAAACTATTTTATTTAATTACACTTTTATCACAAATTTGTTAAAACTTTTGCTATTTTATTTGCGTGCACTTAACCGTTGCCTTATGGCAAAACCGTTTTACAACAACAATCGATTCATGTCACGACAGTTAACGAAATTTAATACAAACTAAACCTGAAATTAGAACAATTCCTTTCCGCAAAGAGAAACGCACTAATTAAGTGCATATCGATTTAAAACGCATTAACCCTAACTTGCTTTGAGTACGAATTGAAATATGAAACACACAGTGAAAAGGGAAGTGTAGTAAAGCAACAGGTACTCTGCTTTAATATGAAAGTTAATGTTAAACATGTAATTAACAGAAATCTTACAACAAACTTTGTTGCGTGCATTAATATTATACATGAATATAACATAAAATTTAACATGAATGTAACATAAATATAACATAAATGTTTAAGTAACTTCTATAGAAACACTTTTCAATTACATATTTCTGCTCAAACCTTAACAGTGATTTTATAGTTTTAACTTAAGTTCTATTTACGACTTAGAATAAAACAAATATCGTTATAAAACGATTGTACATTATAAAGAGAAATTAATTTATAAATTTAATTAAACTGAGACGCAGCTTTTAAAATGCAATTAAAAATGCTAAAATATATATCGCAAAATGCAAACGTTTTCACCTTTTTTTATTATTACTACAAAACGACAATATAATTTTTAATTAGATTTTAATTAATTTTTCTAATAGAAGCTAACTTAGTTTTATTTAAATATAGTTCACTTTTAGTAAGTGTATAGTTACATCATAATATAATACATCATAATTTCTTATAGTCTCTAATATATATATATATATATATAACGTATGCTTCTAACTTAGCTTCAAAAACATGATCTTGGATTTAACATCCAAATTAATTATATGGCTAATAATATTAATAAGGATATTAATATTTTGGATTTAAATGTATTTGTATATATGTATATATTTATATGGTATATATTTACATATATCCATATATTTATTTATATGTATGCATATCCATTTTAAACCAAATACACTTCTTATTGAAATTAATGAAAACTTGCCTTACGTTCGACTTCTTCTTACTATAACATTTTGAAAAAGGTTTAGTCGACCGAGATCGTTTATTTTCCATTAGCTATGCAAAACTAGATTCTAGATTCCAGATTCCTCTCAAATGAGGATTTGTTATTTTATAATCAACCAGATGATTTGATTAAATAATCATTAAGCTGATGCCAAGACTGCAAATAGTTGAATAATACTGCAGATATATGTTTAAATCAGGATACATAGCATATAAATCAGGATAGATAGCAGTCTCCAGTTGTTCTATAATTCAATGTTTTGTAAGACGTCGTTTTATAGTCTTTCCTCATCTTGTTAAAGTTTAATCAGTGATCTTACTACATATTTTACTACATTTTAGACTTTTGGAAGTTATTAGAATATTTAGAAAGATAACAAATGTTTTTTATTTACAAATGTATATTTATTCCATTAAGTTAAATAATCCACTTGAATTACTCTTAATAGAAATTAGAACCACGAGACTAGAATTAACCACTTAAGATGAAAGAATTTACTTTTCATTTTATTTAAATATTTTATATATTTCTAGAGTAAGATTTTAACAATTTCCAGCTCCAAATGTTATTCCTATATACTATTGAAAACATATCTTCGGAGTATTATATATTCCTCGACTTAAATTTTTAACATTTTTTGGCCTTATAAGTGAGTCCTATACGCATTTAAGAAAATATCTGTAAATATAAAATACAGTTATTTACCGCGAAAATAAAGTTGGTAGTAATTTCAAAGTAACTGGTATTAAATCCGATCAGCTTAAAACATATAAAATTCTTCGACACATCTATAGATCAGAAGTCGCCACAACAATAAGCAATGTAGCGCTTATAGGAAGGTGTATGAAAGACTGTTATATGACGCAGCAACCATCTTACCCACAAAAGACATTTTCTGCATTTATAAAGCAAGAACATAACACGAGAATTTGTAGTCCGACTGATAATATATAAATAATTACAAAAAGTAATCTATAAAACTATTTTGAATTAGTGATGCGTACAACGCAGGGTTTTGGGACTCAAGCCTTCATAAAAATATTACGGAAAATATTGGAAACTTGAGTTCCCAAATAAAACTGCAGTTTATAATCTTATTCTAATTTGAAAAGCATTGAAAGTACTTTGGTTAGTGTTACGTACAAATTAAGTATCAAATAATTTGGAACTTGAGTATTGAAAGTTTATGCAATCTTAGCTTTTTGTGGAAAAATACGATGAGACATCGTTTCTAATTTAGCAGATACGAGTTCTAAGCCTGGCACTTGCAGCCTAAACAAATTATATAGGGGCTATAAACTAATTAAATTAAAATTTGTATATTTTCTAACATCACTGATGATAAGTACTTGGGAATACTCGAAACAACGTTGTATGGTCACCCAAATTTCAACAAGTTAATTAAAATTTTGTTATTGTCTCTTCATTACACAATAAAAATTTAATC